GAGGGACACAGAGAGAGAGAGAAACAGACAGACAGACATAGAGAGAGAGAGAGCGAGACAGATAGAGAAACAGAATGAGAGAGAGGGAGAGAGACAGTGAGAGAGAGACACACACAGAGAGAAAGACAGAGAGACAGAGATGGAGACAGAGATTGAGAGAAAGAGAAAGACAGATAGAGAGAGGCAGAGTGATAAGAGAGATAGAGACAGAGTGAGAGAGACAGAGATGTCTACAAGAGAGATAGAGAGAGAAAGATAGAGACTGATAGAGAGAGAGAGATAGATACAGATAAAGAGAGAGATAGATCGACAGATAGATATAGAGACAGAGAGAGAGAGACAAAGAGGGAGAGAGACAGATATATATGAGAGAGGGACACAGAGAGAGAGAGGCAGACAGACATAGAGAGAGAGGGAGACAGATAGAGAAACAGAGTGAGAGAGAGGGAGAAACAGACAGCAAGAGAGAGACACACAGAGAGAGAAAGACAGATTGAGAGAGAGAGAAAGACAGAGACAGGCAGAAAGATAAGAGAGATAGAGACAGAGCGAGAGAGACAGAGATATCTATAAGAGAGTTAGAGAGAGAAAGATAGAGACAGATAGAGAGAGAGAGAGATTAAGGTAGAGATAAAGAGAGAGATAGATAGACAGATAGAGATAGAGATAGAGAGAGAGATAGAGAAACAGAGTGAGAGAGAGAGAGACAGAGAGATTGCCTGTCCCTCGGGGATCCCCCCAGCCCTGATCACAAACAGCCCCTGAATGTGGGCCTTTGGGGTGTGATTGAGATTTCTGTCGGAGCTGGAGAATGATGTAAGGTAGTGAATAAACTCCCTCAGCAAGCTTGCTGCGTAGGACAGACCAGCCTGCTGCAGCTTGGAGCTGAGCCCTGCAGGGTGAATATAAAATATTACCAAGAATAATCAGAGTAATAGAGAAGATTTTTTGCTGAGGTTTACACCCAGATGCTGCAATTATTAAACTCCAGGCTCTGGCTGGATGCCAGGAGCTGTGCTTTCAAGTTTCAGAACCGAGTTAGCAACAGCACATAGTCCAGCGAAATGTACAGGTCCAGAGGTGCACGCTGTTCTGCCCATCTGTTTCCTACTAGCTCCTCGCAATGTGAATCCACTGGGCACCCCATTATCGACATCCTGGGGATACCGTTTCCAACCAGAGAAAGAATCTAACCATCACCGCCCCTCCCTTGACATTCAACGGCGTTACCATCACTGAATCCCACCACCACCCACTATCAACTTCCTGGGGGTTACCCATTGAGCAGAAACTGAACCGGGACCCCCAGCCCCATATCAATCCTGTGGCTACAAGGAGCAGGTCAGAGGCTGGGAATCCTGCAGCAAGTAACTCCCGTCCTGACTCCACCCC